ATTGATTTGTTTTCTTTTACTTCTTTCTTATCAGAGTGTATTGGTCACACAGATTAATGAGTTTCATCCTGACAAATTCACATGCCACATGACACTTCTTGATTATTTTCACAAGCCTATCACTTCTCTTGCCATACTCTCCCTCGAATTTCATTTTTTGGGTGTGGTTCAATGCATATAATACATCTGATCTTAACTCTTCATATGATTTTTATGTGTATCTCTCATTAGGAAGAACTGAATTATTATTCTCGGTTTTATTAAGCAAATATTTTCAAACAGCCTCCAGTATGGCCAGTCTGACCTTGGGCTTAGAGTCGAAGAGTGGATAAGACAGTGTTCAACCTTTAGGAAGCTTCTGTCATTAGCGGGTAAAGAATGAAAATAAAAATTCACAGTTCAGTTCAGGGAGTAGATGTGGCAGAGAGTGGTCATTGCTCCATCTTATTTTGTTCCTTTTTTAATAGTAAAGGGAACGGAGTACATTTCTCAATTTGATTTGATTCACTGATTTTCTTAAGATTATCCTAACTTCTCTTTTAAAAAACAGCAAGATATTCAATCAGACTCTAATTGTTTGTTGTTCTCTTTATAAAAAGGAGATAACAATACTATTATTGCAATAGCAGGGTGTGACACCTTGTTAAAGGGTAAGTATAAGCAATACAACAGGTAATTCATTTATCATCTTTTTTTTTCTCTATTTCATCTGTTGAGGGACCTTAGGTTATTTTCACATAATGTTTCAGTGAACAAAGGCGATTCTGATTTAGAGTCTTCTTTACCTTTTTCCCCATGGCGGGATGAAAAACGGCCCTTATCCATGCTAAGAAGCGCTCAAGCTAACTCTCCAGCCTCCTGTTTTTAATTACTTTGAATAAACAGTGTGGCAGTTGGGGGAGGATCAACTTGGATTGACTCAGGGATTACCAGAGCACAGTTCTGAGTGTGCCTAATGGTTAGAGAGGTGTGGGGTTGGCATCTATGTCTGGTTCCTTGCCTCTTCCTCTCTGGCACTCTTTCCTTGCTCTGGTCCCTGCAGAGCAAGCTAAGCAAGCTGTGCTCTGCCTCAGTGTCCTACCATGATGTTTCTGCCTTGGAACCAAAACAAAACTTCAATTCCTGAATATTTCTGTGTGCTCTTAAGTGCTATTATGACTCTGAGTCATGTGTCAGTGATTCTATATTAAAATGTAAAAATTATCTATCACATACTTTATCAGACTTCACAATAGCAGCTAACATTTGGTAGAGGTGTTTTTAGGTGTCGGTTTTTAAGCTATGTTACGTTTCTATATTATTAAATCTTCATAAAATAAAACTATTGCTATCTCCTTTTTATAAAGAGGACACCAAATTATTAAAGACTGAGTGAGTATCTTGCTGTTTTCATAAAAGGAAGTTAGAATAATCTTAAAAAAATCAAGTCATTAATCAGTTTAGAAGATAGATTTCCTGTCCAGAACATCATTCCAAATTAATTTCATAGAGAACCTACAGTTGGAATTCTGGATTTGTATTAAACATAACCAATAGCAACACTTGAAATTAAGAAAAATAAAAATTCATTAAATTCACAGTTCAAATCAGAATGAAAATTTTGAATTTCATTATAAGAAAAACAAGACAAAATTATGATGAAAAGAAAATTTGGAAACTAGGATTCCATACTGGGTTTTTTATTGATTAGGTTTTACAATTTGAGTTTGTCACATGATTTACAGATCTCTACAGAACTTAACTTTTCACAAAGCTGTTAGACAATGTGATTTCCATGATTATTTTGCTAAGAGTAGAAGAGTAATTCTTGAGAATGTTTGTACAAAAATTAATTGTTATTATGCAAAGTAAAAATAAAAAAATTTTATATATTCCACTGACTCAGGTTTCTGAATCACTTATCTAACATTTTACAAACACCTACTATGTATCAGGAATTGTAGTAACTAGTATTCTACCAGCGAACAAATGAAATCTTCATTTTTATAGTTTATATTCTAATGATGGAAATCAAAACATAAAGAAACATGTAATATATTCTATGCCATGTGATAAGTGCCACAGGCCAAAGAATAAGAAAAGGAAATTGATGGTGAAAGGAAATATCCGATTCTCTGTGTCTTCTTTGCTCTTCTCTAAATACCCCAGGATCACTTCCAAATTAGTACCAACCATCTCAACGGCCTGAACACCTTTCCCCAGCTATCCTCAGGTTTTCTCCTCCTCCATGAAGGTTAATGAATAGGCAATCTCATGTTCTCCTATTAGGCCTCCACCGTATTTTCTTTCCCATAGATTTTATCTCCTTCCAACATATAATTAAGTTGTTTATTTCTGTGTTTAATATCTGTATTGTTTCATTTTGTAATGCATAAAAGGGGAGCTGGGTGGTCAGTGCCTCAGATAGGCAAAGAAAAATCTCTTTGGGTGAGTGGGTTGGCCAGGCTAGTCCACTTTTCTTTTTCCACTGCGAAGAAAGAGGAGTAGGTGCTTATCCTGGAATGGTGAGGAAGTAGCAGTGGAATGAACAAGCCTAACATCACAAAAAGAGACAAGTTAAGATCCTTTTCCACACCTAAGTTCCAGCCCTTGCTGTATGGTCCTCAGCAGATCTCATCCTGCCCTGTGAGTGCCACAGCATACTAACCATCAAGGTCTCAGCTGTAGCTGGGAGCAAGAGAGAGTTTTCACATTCTAAACCAGCCCACAAGGCAGGGCAAGCACGGGTCTTGGACAGATTCCATCTTCAATTTATCATTTGCAGTCTCCAACATTTACCTCTTTCTGTCTGTTTGATTATAGAAATTGAATCAGAGTAATCTGTGGCTGTAGAGCCTCTCCAGGTCAATGGATTTGAATTCCTGATTCACTTTCACTGGACCTTCCCCAATTCATCCAGCTGAGTCTTCTCACCATTTCATGTTCCTCCCCCACATGGGTGTGGTCTTCCCTCCTCAGTCTAATTAGCTGGTTCCTGTTCAAGGTGTCACATACCAGTGCGAAGCAGTGACCTGGCCAAAATCTCCAACTGCCTCCTTTCAAGGAGCTAGTGGGACCTCCAAGATGATATAGAGGAAATTCTAGATATCAGATAGGCTGAGTTCATGTTCCCCAAAGTAGAAGAATGAATTCTAAGGAACAATGGAGATTAAGAGTAGGAAAATTTATTCAGAAAAAAGAATGGGAAATAAGAATGGAGAGTAGGATTAGATCCTGAGAGACAAAAAGGGTCCCAAATTGGTTGCCCTAATGAGTAGAAATTTGACATTTAAAAAAATAAAGGAAATTTTTATTTAAATTGTTATACATACAGTTCATTAACTATCATGTGGCTTTAAAATGACTATTAAATGACATCTATGACTATTACAAAAATAATATGAAAATTATATTATTGAGTAAGAATTGCAAGACACAAAAATATGCATATATTATTACAATGATATAAAAAGTCTTTAGATAAAAATGTTAAAAATAGACCCAAAATTATCAGTATACATTGTGACAATTTTATTTTTTCTATTTTACAAATTTTCTAAAGTTAAACATATTATTTGAAAAAAAATAAATTTAATCATTTAAAAAGGAAATCTTTTCTAACATCTTTCTTTCATAGTATTGCAAAAGCTTTTTTGTTCTGTTTGTAGAAATCAGACCTTGACAATGTCAGTACCTTCTGACAAACAGGAACCCCAAAATGAGAAGAGTTCACTTACATTGTAAATGTTTCACAAAAAGACAAAAGGGACAGAAGAATTTGAATCTATTCTCTTTCCTTCTTTACCAGCAGCGTACATTGAGTTTATCTTCCAATCACATTGTCTTCGGGGAAGATAATCTTATCCATTGAACATATCTCTCAGGCGCACAACACAATGCCTGAATGATAATAAACAGAACATGGCAAGATCATACAAGACTATTTTACCTTGGACTGTTCCATTCCTTGATGATCAAGAGATTATTTTTTTCAACAACATGTACTAAGAGTCAACATACACAAGGGATGTGTTACTTAATCTACTCCACAGAATAATTTACTATGGTCAGAATTATGTTGCCAAACTTCAAATAACAAAATAGGTAATATAAATAACATTCCCAGAGTAGTACAACCAGGTAGTAAAGCCATTAGATAAAACAGATTCAAAGTAACTCTCAATACTTCACTAAAAGTGCCTCTAGGAGAAAAAGGAGAGGGCAAAAACATTATTGCTTATAGACCTCCTTTTCAACCATACTTCTGGATCCCTAAGATATCATTTATTAAGTCTTTTTTTAATAGTAATTTTGCTTGCAAAGCTCATCAAATGTAGTTTTATTAACATACCTCTTTGGCATTGTCAGCCAAGGAAAACATGAATGTCATCTCAAAGTTTTTTAAAACGTTTAGATGACCAGGGTCTGTATGGGAAGGACCCAGGAGTAGTGAAGAGGCACCATATTAAGTAGACACTTCTGTGACAAGTGAGGAACAGATCACATTTCCTCAGTCCCTGATCCCTCATGACAATTCTTCTCAGGAGTGATTCTGTTCTTAATGAGTAGCAATAGGAAGCAGAAGCCTAGGGTAGACTGGAGGCTGGGTCACAAACTCTGTGTTAGTTCTCTTTTGTTGGGTCAACTGGCCAGGTCATGCCTTGGAGAGACTCAGTTGAATCATATGATTGCTTAATAAAATTCCTTTAATAAATTGCTAGGTGAAAAAACAGGCTTCAAAATTAATAATAAAATTTATATGTATACATACATTCATAAAAAGATTGAAATATACTAGCTTTAGTTTATTTATGACTTAAATACTCCAGTGAGGAAAAGGAGTACTCTGATTTGTACTCTTGGATTGGATTTTAAATCAAATTAATAGCAAAGTAATGGGTTTCTATTTATTTCAAATAGCATGTATAATGTCTTTTTATAATATCTCACATAAGAGGAAAAAACTCGCATAGGTTTCATCTCCTCCCTAGGAGTCAACTTTAAAGGTTGCATAATTCCCTTTAACCTGCATTATCTCCCACCTGAATGTTGTGGTAACTTGCTAAGGATAGCAAACACAGTGTCATCAGTAAGCCAGGACAGGAGGAAAGCCCAGTGCTTCCATCAACTTCCTTCATTTCTTGACAGTTGGCCCCTTCATGTCCTTGGTAACACTGACAGAAAAATTTCTGTTTCATCACAATCAGGTCTGCATCAGACACATTTCCCTTCGCAGTGAATCCTCCATTCCCAGAGGTCTCTATGCGGTAGCTTTTATTACTCAAGTGGAGGTAATCTGAAGCATTCCACATCTTCCTTACGCATCTTCCGTTACTCCTGCAGAGATGAAGGCTGCAGATCTCAGCGGCTGTGCTCACATTCACTATATAGCTCCCTAAATCAGAGCTCACAAACTGCTTCACTTTGGTACAGTTGTCCTGGAAATGTAAGGAGAAATGAATTTTAGTGTGCTTTCTGGTAGTGACAGTGTTAGAGCTTTTGGATCCATAAGGCAGCTTTTCGGACTTAACTGAAACCTGGTGGCTTGGATCTAGTTGGTGAATTCAGAGGCTCCTGGGCAATAAAAAACCTACAGGAGTTTCAGATCAGAAACGGCGGAGCTCCAAGTGACAAGGGGTGAAGTTGTGTCACAGACAGAGAACTGAACTTTCAAATGGCCCCGAGAGTGACAGGGGACTTCCTCTTCCATCAATTTACACTTTTCCCACTCTTCTTCAGACTCTTAAATTAGTGGTTGGGAAAAGGAAAAGAACAAACACAAAATAGAAATCATGCCAGAATTGCTTTTCTCAAGCAGAAGAGCAAAACTGTGATACCTCTCATGGTTGTGTTAGAATGTGAATCGTGATATTCCAATGCTTATTGTAGAATATCAATTGATAGACTTTGGCATGTGCCTGCTCATAATGCTTTAACATCATCTATCATGAATTTACAATTTTATGTATAAATTCAAACTCAAGAAAGCTTGTAAGACTGACTAGGTAATTTGTGTGTGAGTGGTTTCAACCCCCTCAGTTGTGTGTACTGATGAAGCTCTTCTCCTAAGCCACAGGGGGCTGGGGTAGAAATATTAGGCCTAGAAGGTTAGGAATTGAGCCTCTTAATTTCCTTCTATTTCTCGTGAGATAGAAATATTTTCATGAACGATGTCTTTACAGAAATAAGTTGAGCTTAAGAAAATCTATGAGTATTGTCAGATCATTATGGATTTCCAAAAAAAATTCAATTTCACCAAAAGTGTTGAGAGTACAAGTATAATTCAAGGCAAAATGTAGAATATAGAGATATAAACAAACAACATCTGGAAACATATAACATAAACATAAGAGAATATGATTAATACAATTTGGAGAAATTAGGAGGATTTCTTGGAGTAAATAGTATCTCAACTGGGAGAAATCTGAAGAAACATTTAAAACTTATTTGAAGTGCTATTAATTTCTGTAGAAAAAAAACAACTTCAATAGGATGATTAAAAACTTACCGTCTGTGTCTTCTTCTCAATCTGACATATTTCGTGGAGTAGTTCAATTCAAGGGCTCCAGTGTCATACTGTCTGTTGTTATTGCTATAACTAGCCTAACTAGCTAACTAGTTAGTCTGATTAGATTTCATGTCTTTTTTCCTCATCTATCAATGATCATTAACAATCAGTACCCCACATGACCAATAAATGAACAAATACAAAGAATCAGTTATCCTTTTAGCACAAATAAATATTCAATAAATATCAATGTCAAGATTATATACTTTTGTACCTTACACAAGTTAACAATATTTACTAAGCCCAGTTTATGTGCCAGGCACTGATTTGGACTTTTATTCTAAAACTGGTTTACCATAGGGGTCAGGAGAACTTTAATTAGAATCAGCTTTCCAGAAAAACTATGTTGACTACCCCCTCCATGTGCTGACTTACCTCTGACAAAGTTAAATTCATGTCTCCCCAGATAACAATGCCTGCAGCTCCCAAGGCGGCACTTTCTCCTATGGTATTAATTAGATCTTGCTAGATTGAAGAGAGTAGAGTTCATTATTCATCTGAATATAAAACAACCCAGGAGAGATTAGGATTAGAGGCTGAGTTCCACAAATAGAAGTCAAAAGTTTTTCTTCTCCGTGTAAATGGAGGAGAAACTCTTAGACAGTTTCCTTTTGCATTTTGTCACATGCTCTTGTGGAACTGTACCTCTGCAGTGACTTCACTGGACTTTTGTCAGTTTAATTCCAAATCAAGAGGACTCAGTTAAAGATTATAAATTGTGATTTCGCCCAACCTTTATATTTGGTTCCTGAAATAATCTCAAGGTATAGGATTTAATGAGCTTCATTTAAGATTCATGGAGTAATAACAAAGCCACCAGGATTTTTGCCAATATGGTTTAGATGAAAACAAGATTCAGTCACATGAGTTTTGGTTTTGCTGTCTTAAAAGATGATTATTTAGTTTTTATAGGTTAACATGGATATAGGTCATTGTAGTAGGTCTATAAGGATTAAAAATATAATTTATTTTCTAATTTATTAAATTCTATTATTCCACTCCTTAGGATATTACACACTTAACTTTTCCTTTCTGGATGAATTTTCATAGGTTATATTTTAAAAAGTGGTGATTTTGTGGAAAACAAAAGCAAAAGCTTTGTACTGTATTTTGCCTCCTCCACTTCATCATAGTATCAATTATGAATGAATCTTCTTATCTGACATTCCTATTTTATTATTCCAAAAGTTTTATAATGTCTGTTTTCAAACTCTTTTTTTATTCTAGGCAGTGTCCTGACAATCTTCAAAACAGAAGAGATTTTGGTGAAACTAATTTCTGTTTTCATATCCATTTATGCTCCATGACCATAGTGTCAACCAAACAGTTGGTCATTGCCAACATGACAGGAAGGGAAGGCAGTTTTGTGAACTCTAATGAGGTAGTGCATACGAAGGGACTAAAACTTGGCAATGTCTGATGGAGAGGAGGAGAAATTCCCCATGCAGTATGCAGACTGCAGACTCTGAAGAGTCCTTGTCTGTAGACTCTCGGCAAAGACAACAGAGGGCAGAACACCTCTCTCTACTCACATTATAACATCCCAGCACACAAACAAATGACAGTCACATGATATAATCAGATGTGTAGACATCTCAGAAAACTTTCTTTTAGATTAAGGCTCTGTCATCAAAGGGGAAGGTGAATATAGCATTTACATTTTACATGTATAGATTATTGATCCATATTCAGTAAATATGGAAACTACAGATATTTTTAATGACACCTTAACCTCCTAGGATTGATAGTTTGTTCCCAGTGTATCTTTCAGTGCCACTGATACAATTTAAATATGAAGCATCCCTCCAAAATTCTCATATGAAGGACTTCATATCTAAGGCACCCATGTTTACAAGTCACCAAGAGAGGTGAGTGGATCATAAGGGCACTGCTCTTATCAATGGGTTAATCAGTTCATTCGCCAGATGGGCTGATAGGAGGTGGGGTCTACCTGGAAGAAGTAAGATCACCAGAGACATGTTTTTGAAGGGTGTAGCTTTTTTCTGGCATTTTCCCTTGTTCTTTGCTTTTCCCTATCATAGGGTGAGCATACTTACTCCAGCATAACTTTTGCAATTGTTTCTGCCTTAGAACCTACTAACCATGTACTGAAACCTCTGAAACCATGAGTCAAGATAATTTTTTTCTCCTTTAAATTTTATATATCAGATATTTCTTCCTAGTGACAGCAAGGTGATTAATATAGTCATTATCAAATAAAATATATTGGAACTGATTAAAAATGACAAGTCCTCAAGTACATATTGACTGGCAGAATAGCAGCTATTAATGAAAATTTCTCACTGTATTAGCTTACATTATCAGGGTGCCTAATGAATTACAGAGCAGCTGTGTTTTAGGAATCAGGAAAATAGGGACCCTTAGCCTGCTTGGGAAGTCACAGAAAATTACCTTTGGGGGAGCATGAGTCACATAGTTGGTGTCATATGAAAGAAGAAGTAAGAGACAGAAGAGGTAGTGAACATGACCCACGCAGGTCCCAGTGTAGCATAGGGCTGCTTTGTTCCTGAGCGTGATCCTAGGTCTCAAGTCACGGTTTCAGAGGTATAAGGTAGGAATACCCAGTGGAGTCATCCTCATTTCTTGGCCCTGACATCAGAGTACCTGTAAGTAATGCCCACTGTGGAGGAATGGAACCTTACTAATCATCTGTCTGTGTGTTAACCACAGGGAATACTAATTAATGACAATAATAAATATCTTTAAAACTATAGCCAAATAAACTCCTCCCACTATTTTTATAAAACATAGCCTCAGGTTACAATAGGTTGTACTTCTATGTAGGTAGGGCTGGCAATCTTCCATTTGAAATGAAATATTGCTGCTTCCCAATTATTCACCCAAACCATGGCTGCTGATGGAAATCCCATTCTTGGACAACTCATGGTTACATTTAAGCTTTTGAAAGTGGTGAAAAAGTGATAGCTACCAGTGTACTTCTGTAGTCTTCAAATTTTGCATATACTTTTTCTTATTTGATTTTCATAATACCTCTCCTAAGTGAGTAGAGTAGGACCGAGATACAGTCTCATTTTTTAATGTTAAGACACGGCAGTGCTGAGGTCCAGCTGTATGTGTGCATTCTAAAACACAGACACTGAAAATCCCAGAGTTGGAAACCTGTAATCATTTAGAATTTGGTGGAAATAAAATTTTGTGAGCACATTTTTATGGTAAAGAGTACAGTGATAGGTATAATGATAGCTAAAACACTTAGTTTTCAGAAAGGAAAATGATACAGAGTAAGATGACATTTAAAATGTTTCATTTTTCCCCTGAGAGGGAAAAGAAGCATTTCTGAGGTTGCTGTTACTGCTGAAAATTTACCCAGGATTTACAGTATACACAGAATATATCAGTAGTCTAAAACCTTTTGAATGAATACTGTCTTTAAAGTATATTGTGTCTTGTGAAAGTAACTGTATTATCATTAAACTTGTTTGAACTAAGCATAAAAAAGAATTTCATAAAAAATTATTTTGTAAAAACTCAGGTATAACTTTTTAGAACCTTCCTGATCATACCGCTTCCCTATTGCTATTCATTCCATAATATATGGCTGGTTTTCCTGGGCAGTATAAACATCAGCCCATAATGAAACTTTCTTTCCTCATCTCATGCACAGTGCCAAAGGCACAGCGTTTTCCACTCTTCTCGCATTTGACCTATTTCTGTCTGTACACTCCACAGATATCTGCAAGTCACAGCAAAGCTCATACTGGAGATTCCTAAACCTCCTCCTATAGATTCCCATCACACAGAACACCTTTGTATTTTAATGAAGTCTGGTAAGTTGAAATTTGGCAATGTTAGAGAAAAAAAATGCCTCTGTGAAAATATATAAAACTTAAAATATCAATATACTACAAATAGGATGCCTGAATCATTCTCCAGTTTTCTGCGTGTAGAAAGTTCTCACAAGATGATATAAATCTCAGGGTTTACACTATCCACCACGTTTCCTAGAAATCTCTGTTTAAGTATGTACAAAGAAAAATGTGGAGAAAACCTAGCTGAAAAGTAACCTACCTCAAATGCTACTCTCGTGTATGTGCTTTGGCCATATACATGTTTAAAGTAAGAATAAACAGAATAAAACTGCTATCTGTAAGTCTGTAAATCTTAATGTAAGATTATACACATTTGTTAGTGATTTAAATAATAGATTCAGAAACCCACACCACATTGCCAACTTTTCATTACTTGTGAGTATAGAAGCAAAATAATCCAGAAATCTAAATGTCTACAGACTCACCTACTTTTTGAAGATTTTCAAATCCCTTATCCATTCTAAAATTAAAATTTTAATATGATAAAAATATGTAACATAAAATTTATTATCATTGCCATATCTTAAGTATACAGGAAGTAAATGTTAATTATATTTATATTACATTATTCTACCTCCCTTCTGTCCTTTTATCAAAGCTAGTTTGGGCATTTAAAACAAAGCTCAAAAGAAAAGCTCTCTTTGATACGGTAAGGCTGTAAAAGGAATCTCTTATATTCTATTTCCACATGTATGAGCAAACTACTCCTGTTTAAAATAGTCTCTCCATTTTCTAACTATTTAAGACAAACCATTCCAGTAACCTTCTACAATGCCAAAGGGCCAGTCATAAGAGAATACAATCAGATTCAAAAGACAGGAAATACAGTAGTTTCTTGTATTGTACTTTAACCCCTTACTATCTTACTACATTTTTAAAGGAATTATAATAAATAAGATAAAAATACAATTTGCCTAAGTGAAGAGTCTAAGTGAATTAATAGTCAAAGAGGAATTATGTTCTAATGGCCCATTAGATATTCTTCAAAGAGCATAATTATTAAAGAAATAGCTCTTTTAGAGAAAGAAAGAAAACTCCTATCATTGGACAAGAGACTTCTTACCTGAGAAAGAAAAAATAAAGGGTCTTCTCTGTACCCCAGCCTTGTGTAGACAAACACAGGCAAAGCATATTTATGGGATGTCATGGTGGAGATCCTCATAGCTTCTTGCACCCGAAATTTTGAGAAGTGCAAAACATTTTCACTGTTTCTGAGGGATTTCTTGATAACAACAGAAGGATATAAAGCAGTGCTACTATCCCAGAGCCACGAGAGTTCATTATTTTTCAAAACTTCCTCTTCGGGACATGAACCTGTATAGCTTGGGTCATCCATATTATAATTGTGGCAGTCAGGATATAAATAATACCCCCAAAGACCTTTGGGTCGCCTCTTAATTCCCAGTTTGATGGTTTCTATCATGAATGCTTTGGCACTTTCTTCGAAGGTTGCTTTGGCTAAATATTCAATATCAGAAGCTTTCACATTCTGTTGCAGGTCAAAAATAAGCTCTTTTGACTTCCGTCTGTAAACATCTTTTGCATTCCAGTTCCGATCCCACTGTGGACGCCAGTATTCCCAGTCTATAACAGCAAGTCCACGGAAGTCTTTAACAGGTATGTAATACTTAATGTCTTGATCCACTTTTTTCAAATGTACTTTCAAGCTTGTATTCTGAGGGAGACCCCCATTAATGGGAACCCCCTGAGATGTGTACCAAGGATAATATCCCAATCTTCTAGGATAAAATATAGTGACATTTTGACCCCTAGCCTTGGTTAGTGTGCTTCCAGCTACCTGAAACATTTCCAAATTCAGTCTTAACTTATATTTCATCAAACATTGATCTGTGGGAGTGTTCCAAGCAGCTATGAAAGGTTTCCTTTGATACAATGGAAGTCGTGCAGGCTTTAAAGAACACACAGACTTCAGACTAAGAAATACAAGCAGCCAGGGTGTAAGATGTATTGACTGAATAACACAAAGCCTGAATTGTCCTTCTGCTACTAGTTTCATGATAAATAAAACATATGCTGTCTTCTGCTTTATGCACTCCAGAAGATCTATGGAAAGATTTATGATTAATGATTATTTTGAGTAAAAACACGTAAATATCCGGTAGATATTATATACACTTGCATTTTTAAAAGGCATTTTAGGGCTTTTTAATCCTCAGTACCACAAATAAATAAATAAATAAGCCATATTTATTTAAAAGTCATGAAAACATCTGTAAGTCAATTTACAAAAGCCAGTATGGTGACTAAGCTTTGGTTCAGAAGCAAGCAATGTAATTCAATAAACATTAATGAGAACCAGACTTTGTGTCCAGAATTTTAAAATGAGTAAGATGTAACTCTTACTTTCAAAGAGCTTATAACAAAAAAAAAAAAATTCCATCATCTTGGAAAGCTCAGGAATATTGGGTATTATGCATGAATGCTTTCTAAATAGTATCTTACTTAATATTCTAATATCTGTATAAGGTTAATAATTACATTTCCATTTTACAAATTAAAAAACTTATTTTATAAATAAGGAGATGAATCTAGAGAGATGCTCCATTACTTGAAACAGAAGGCAATGTAAAATTGTAATAATAGCAAGAACTATGAATGATTTATTAGAGTAATTATTTTTTCCCAGAGGTAAGGAGTAGATAGCAAGAGAACATGGTGGAACACCAAGAGATGCTGTAGAGAAGAGGGGGCACTCAAGCTCAGTTGAGTTTATTGGTTGGAATTTAGGTGATCAGAGAAGAAAAAGAAAACAAATATTTTTTGGTTTCCTTTTTCTTGCTGTTTAAAAAAAAAAACACCTACAAATAATTATTTGTTAAGCAATTCAGTCATCAGAAAGTTCAGTGGCAAAAAACATTTGTACTTTTTGTGAAATTAAAATGAAAATGCACTATTATTCTGCCTAGCACAGTGATAATAAGGCCTACAACAGACATTTGTCATCTTACTGAGTGCCTGGGATACTGACTTGCTTCCTCTGTAGTAAATTCTGTATCACAATGAGGCAGGAGGATCACTGTGAGTTCGGCCAGCCTGGGCTACAAAGTGAGCCCAAGGCCAGCCTGAACTGCATAGCGAGACCCTGTCTCAAAAAGACAAAAAGCTGTGTTGTATCTGGACTACTGTGATAGCAGAGCAAATTTCCTGAGTCACCTCACCTAATCAACACCAACTTGCCTTTGTCTTCCTGCTTCTGCTCTCATTGTTTTCCCAGAAAAGTTTTCTCCTTTTAAACAAGTCTCTAATTGGCAGAACTGGGTAAGGATTGGCATAACTTTGAGGGATGAGTGAAGAATTTAACCTGAACTTGATACTGGTGAGTCAACTTTCTGTCACCAAGACAAAGTGCCTGAGAGAACCAGTTTAAAGATAACTTTAAATCATGAAGTCCCTCATGATTTCAGGGACGTCTTTCCAGGGTGAGCTGGCTCCGTTGCTTTAGGCCTGAAGAGAACCAGAAAAGGAGAATAAAGCTCTCTCTTCATGGCAATCAGAGGCACAAAGAGGAAGGGGCTGAGGACAAAATGTACCCTTCTGGGTTACATCTGCAGTGACCTTCTTCCAACTTGGCCCCACATTTCAGAGCTCCCACGCCCTCCCCATAGGATCAGCAGCTGAAGCCCAGACTTTCAACACATGAGCTTTAGGGGACTTTAGTATCCAAACCATAAAAACGCATACATTTTTCACCTCTGTATTCATAAGCGTAAGATGTGTCTGGGAACTTAAGTGAAAAAAACAGTTCCCTTCCTTCAGTGGGGAATCTTCTGTGATGACAGTGTGAAGGCACCTGTACAAATGATTCCTGGTGAAAATGAGATAGGTCAGGGAAAGTAAAATCAAGGTAGAAAGGAGACAACAAATCAATATTTTAAAAAATAGTACTTAAAAAAATCCGCACAACTTCAAGTCACAGAAGTTACTCCCCACTTCAAGGAAACTCACTAAAAGTAAAACAGTCCTAAAAGTCTTAAATACAGAGTAAGCCAGCTGGGAAAAAAACCTATAAATTGTTCTCCTTCTTCCTCAGGGAGCGGAATTATTGTTGGGCTGCAGATCTCAAGTTCAAGCACATGTAGAGATGACTTGCATAGTAACATGACAGTCAATAGAAATACACATCCTAGACCACCCCTCATAAACACATCCCTTAAAATATCAAAGTCTACCTAACAAGGTGTCTCATTTCTCAGAGCACTTTTTAGTGAATCCTATGTCTCTGGCTAATAAACCCTTTTCTTCCCTATTACCGACATCTATATTTTTGCATGACAGGAGTCGGCAAACCTACAAACTTATTCTACCAACAGAGTGGGAGAGGTTCCTTATGTGTAGTCTCTGAGACTTACAGACCCAGCCCAGTGACATTTATCTCGATGACCCAGATCGACCTAAAAAGAGGCGTGGAGAAGTGCAAATCTCAATTCTGGGAAGCGCAGTCAAAGGGACTTTCAGTTTCCTCCTTTCTTTTCTCTCACTATCTCAAATCCTGCCACTTTCTTGTGATGTTAGCTCTCAGAGGCAGGGAGCTGGAGAGGGGAGTCTAATATGAGGGGGAGGGAAGGCACAAGGCCTGTATTTTTCATGATATGTCATCTGCAATGGTTAAGTGACCTCTCTGGACTTTTCAAGCCCTCTGTAAATTCCCTCTGTGTGTGTGTGTGTGTGTGTGTGTGTGTGTGTGTGTGTGTGTGTGTGTGTGTTACAGTTCCTCAAATATAAATACCTTCGGGGTGAATTGTTTAATAAAGTCCAGCTTTTGAGTACAACTTCTTTTCCTGCTTTCTCCATCTGTTGATAATGATTAAAACAGATTTCTATGTGATTAGCGGGGACACCTGTACTGGTCAGTGACAACTAACAAGGCAGAGCCACCAATCATGGGGACTTCTGCTTCTATAAAAGCAGGGGAAACCTGCTGCCTGGGTAGTTCTAGTTCTAGTTCTAGTTCTGGTAGGCTGGCCACATAGCTGGCCCTGGCATCGAGCTGGTTGCACATGAGCTAGTCCCATCCTGTGCCCCACCTGCTGGCAAGAGGCCAGACTGGGGACACCTGGTTTTGGGGCTCTGCTGTTGAGAACCTGGGATGAGGCAGGCATCCTTGACTGCTTAATCTCGGGGAAGGATCCTTTTTTTCCCCTATCGCTTTCCAGAACTACAGAGAGAGATTTTAATGACATGTGGTGAATTTTATTTGATTATAGATAACTCAGTGTCTGTTCCCAAAACATTACCTTCAGGTTATAGTTTTATAAACTTGAGACCAATTTAAGACAGAGGTTTTTTAAAAGATGATTTTTCTTCAAATATAAATTATGGAGTAAAAAGACAATGCCTCAGTGCTTTTGATTTTTGCCCTTAAAACTCCTATTGGTTATAAGTCTACAGTGTTAACTAACAGAAAAGTTATGTAGAATAGCTTTAAAATACTAAAGAAAATACTGCTGTTTTATACATAAAAGAACTATTTGATAACCCCTGACAAAATTCTGACTAGTCTATTCATAGTTATAAACCTAACCTATAAAAAGATTATTATAATTCACCATTGCCAACAGAGCTAACAGTGCACTTTAATTAATAGCAGTTTTACATGTTCTCAAAGTTATCTTGTCCATCTGGCTATTAATCTATCTAGTTGGTTAAAATACCTGGCGCTACTTCACTTGAATAGTTATAGTTTTGAGCTCAACAATTCATTTTTATTTTCATATTATGCCCTTACAGACTTCTGGCTCTGTTGAGTTAGGACTTCCCAATACGAATTGTATTACACAGGTTTGGTGGGCTAGCCAAACTCAAATCGTTACAGGATGAGGGCTGACAGGCTTGTCGCTTACAGAGGGCTTACAATAAAGGCCATAAAATAACAAAAGATTATATAGGATTTAGGTTAATATGTGTGATTTGGGGTGTGAACTTTCAGCCATACATTATCCTCTAAAAGTTCTACTTAAATTGACTTATAAATAAATAACTAGATATTCATGATATACATCAAATGCTTTTTGTTCACATATTTTAAATAGGTTGATAAAAATCTTTCAAATTAATTGAGATAACAGAAACTGATCCTAAAAATACAATGATGATTGTTATCCTTGAATAATAACTTAAGTATTTTTCATTAGTTAAAAAATAAAAATATATTCCTTAATTGTGCTATGCTTTGTTTCCCATGAGTCTTATAAAACAATGGCTACAATGATTAAATAAATAAGCATAAGTAAAATTAATGTTCATATAAATGTTCATAACTACATTTAAGTCATCAATGTAAATTCAAGTATTCTTAGCTTCTTAAGGCTTATAAAAATAACATATTTGGTTTAGTAAATATATGTTAATAAATTAACAAGCACAAAGATTTAAGCTTTTTGAGTTCACTAATGGTTAAATTTCTAATGTTAAAATAATATTTTCAGCAAATGTTCCCTTAGGTAGTGGGAGGGCTCTTGGGCCTAAAACATCTGCCAGAAAAAACTCTCCTCTGTGACTAAAACACATCTGCCTAAACCAGTTTGCTTCACTTTTCTCCACTGATGAGTACCTTCACCAGTGTTTACCAGGTCTTATTGAGCCCTTCCTTAACAAATGTTATTAAAAATAATAATAATATATATATATGTATGTATGTATAATGATTCCACAAATTCAGCACATGAATAGAATATTAAAAGCTGTTAGAGAGAAAAGAAACACATCACCTATAAAGGAAAATCAATCAGAATCATGGCAGACTTGTTAACACAAACCATCAAATCAAAAAGAGTTTGGAGCGAAGTGTTTCAAATCCTGAAAGAAAACAACTTCTAATGACTTCCAACCAAGATTGATGTACCCTGAAAAACTATCTTTCAAAATTGCTAGAAAAATAAGATATTTCCATGATAAAGATCAACTGAAGGAGTTCATGACCACCAAAGCAACCCCATAGAAAGTAGTGAAGGATATTCTCTCACATTTATAAATATCATATTGCCTCTCTGGTGCAAA